CGAATGGGGAGCAAGAGAAGAAGAAATTTTGCCCGCCTATCAAATCTTCGTCTCGTGTCTCCAGACCTATCGACCAGGCGATGGCGACGGAGAATGGTCATCGGACGATGAAACGCCGTTGAGAACCATACAACGTCGAGAGAGAGGAACGACGCCGGACGTCGAACGGCGACGAACGACAGTGACGGCAAAGAAACACGAGCGTCACATTACGATCCCGAGCGGAAAGGATACTCGGATCAACACAACACGGCAGGAGTGAGAGAGACGCCACCGAAGAGAGAGGCGGTTGCACATGCTAGCGAATCAACGGGCATGCATAGCGATACACAGGAGGCTAATATCCAGCGAGATTCAGGAGCTTCCAGGAAGAGAGAGAGAGAGCACAGATCAGCACAGGAGATGTTCGGACGAAACATACTCGGAAGAGACAGTGCTGAAAAGGAAGAGGTGTACAGCCGCCGAGGAGGACAGGGAGGACAACGACGACAAAGACACGACCCGATTCTAAAACGGAAAGGACTGATCATCCCGACCATTACGAACGGGACAAAACGACAAATAACGAGACAGACAAACAAAGGCGACTGAGGGTACACGACAGAGAGGAATATTAAGACGGACATAGTTCAGGTGAGAATCGAACGAGTCGCGTATGTACCCTCATACATCGAGGGGGTTTTCTACAGGTGGGAGCTCGCCTGGGGGAAGCCACGCACTCGTTCGAACACAAAGAACTAAGAGACGAGAGAAGAAGACTGGAAAGCAGAGAAAGGGGAAAGGGGAAACAACGTAACGTGACGCGAAGATATAACGCGTAACGCGAATATATAACGAGAGAATAGAAGAAATATAATGATAGAAAAGAGAGAACGAAAGTGGACATAGGAGACAAATAAAGATAGTAAGAACGCATCTTGAGTAGAACGGTAGAGCCACTCGGAGGGGGGAAATCAAGAGAAGGAACAGTCAGCGTCTCACACACCTATACTACCTAGGCTAACACAGCAATAGACAGGACAGAAACGGCAGCCGAGAAGGAGATAGCAGCGAGCACAGCTTTGAGAGGAATAGGTGGAAATACTATACAAATAACATCATAAGACACAACGCAAGGGCCTATTCCTTTCAACGCCGGAGGGAGCTGAGAGGGAAAGGTCTCGTGAGGACACGAGGAGAGACGTCCCGGAGGTACGTCACCTCAAAGGGAGGGGCATGTGTAACCAAGAACGGTACGGGCAGGAACAGCCGTTACATAACAGACCGACACCGGGCAGTACTAGCCGAGCGACGCAAATAGCATGACATGAGTGACCTAGTAGAAGCGAAACAAAGGAGGGTAATAATAGGCAAAGAGGAGAGGAGGCCGATACGCCCTTCGACCCAAAAGCACGGGTCGCGCGCGAACACGGGGTAAGATAAATAAGCCGAATTTAACAGAGTAAGAGAGAGAGTGTGCTGGGACCAGCCGAGACGAAGCCGACCAAGACGGCCCCGACGAGATGGCATATACGTAACTATGGTTTTTCTTTGTATGTTAGTTGGTTGTATAGACTGTTTAGATTGTTGTTAGAGTAAATGGTATAGAATTTGGACGGGACAGTATGGTGGGTCAATAATACAGTTTAGCGTTGTTGGCAGTAGATGTGTCGCGGAGATGATTTAAACGAGACGTACGGGTAACGACGTTAGTAACAGCGATTGTAGGCAAGCGCTGTGTAGTCATTAGAATACATGACGACTCGACAACGAGTGGGGTGGTGGGATTGAAGTGTACGGTGATGGGGGGATATTGATTAATAAATATTATGCGTGTGTGTATCATATAAATTACTGTGTTGCGTTGTATATCACGGACTGGTTTTTATATTCTTGAGCCGGGTTATTCCCTCACGGGGTACTAAAACAGAGATACGATCACGCCGTCACGCGTGGGCTTAAATAAAGAAGCACGCGGTGAAAATATCACCGCCGCGCCTCGCGCGCGCGCGGTGCAACATACACTGCTGCGCGGGCCGCATCTCTATCCCCGCCGCATATCACTGCCGCGCGGGCCGCATCTCTATCCGCGCCGCATATCACTGCCGCGCGGGCCGCATCTCTATCCCCGCCGCATATCACTGCCGCGCGGGCCGCATCTCTATCCCCGCCGCATATCACTGCCGCGCGGGCCGCATCTCTATCCCCGCCGCGTATCACTGCCGCGCGGGCGGACCGCCGCGCCGCATACTACTGCTGCGCGCGCGCGCGCGGTATATCGCACCGCCGCGCCGCATCCTACCGCTGGGCCTCGGGCGCGCGCGCGGTGCATACGCGTTCATGACTTGCTGCGGCGCTGTACCTATCCTCGCGCCTCATGGCCACTGTTACACTAGTTTATTGCGAGAATTTGACATATTTTGTCGAGTATATTTTCCACCAAACGACGCATGTGTTGATATATGATTCGTCAGAGCGAAAGATGGTCGAGAGAGACCTTGCGTGTTCACTTTAGACTGACTCCAAGACTCCAAGCGTATCGGTGGCTGTGCGCTCAACACCGATCGTCGATTCTTATCAACTATCGGAACCAGTCTATACGTTCCCTTTAAGTTTGGACTGTAATTGCGCACGTCTTAATTGGAAGCTGACTTCGAAGTCTGTCCAGGTTTATATATATTGTGTGTGGTGTTGTGCAAGGGATATAAATAAGCCGTCCAAACTGGTTAAGTTTAGTAAGTAAAGTAGTAGGTCGGGTAAGAGCTGCCATCTACTAGCGGGGAGGGAATTGCTCAAAAGTGATAAAGATTGTGCACTTTGTGACAAGTCTTTGAAATTTGGCATGCTGTTAGGTATTGACATAAGGTGTTCAAAAACAACCGCACCCAAATTGGGTAATGCTATCCCCCGGGCGTGGAGGGAGGTTACCGGAACGTGGCAGCACTAGTGTTAGGATAGTGTTAGGATTAAGGTTAGGGTCAGGGTTAGGGT